CCTACATATCAGAGAGTTTTGCTGTAAGTTGATTACAACACAGAACTCTATTTATGATTGCTCACTCTGGGTCTTCAAGAAGTTTATCATCTAGATGGAGATGCATGATATGTATTTGTACACAAATTTAAATCAAGGAATACCTCCTACATGACACTATGTGTCTGGAAATTTGATAAATTCTTTTCTTCTTTTCCATTTGGTGTGTTGGATCTGGGGATTACAGCTTTATATTTCATATATAAGAAAGGGCAAAAGAGAGCAGGAGATAGCTGCCAGCTTGAGACAGGCAGGCTCATAGGTTGGGAACCCATGAGAGACCTTTAGTTCTGCTCTATTCCTTAGACAAGGAGAATCTCTTATTACTGACCCAGAAACGTCATCTGGGGGCCAGGGTAACCACACAGCACTGAACATGCGAAGTTCTTGGCCATTGCAAAAAATGACTCAATGTTCATGCCCTCCAGACAAGGAGTTATTCAAGTTATCATGTCATCAGAGGGTCAGCTCCTTCACAATCAGGCTGGGCCACTGAATGCAACTGAATTGAATTCAAAGCAATCTGAAAATACTCCATTTACTTAAAACCCAGAAGGCTGGCATGAGAAGAAGAATCCAGACACAGGCAATGGTAGTTAAATTTGTACATTTTTCTTTCTTGTTGCAATTTTATCTTTTCCAAGCAATTTAATGAAGACTCCAGAGGAAAGAATTAAATGTCTGCTGGTTCAATTACCAAATAATGAAAAGGTCAAAAGGAGCACCATACACTGTGTGCCGAGCTGCTATAAAAGTCTATTCTTAGAGTGAAAATCTTTTGTGTGCTGTTCACACTCGCATTTTGCCACCCACAAACTGTACAGATGAGTGTTAGAGTAAGAAGCAGAGATGAGGAGTTGTCCTGCAAAGGGTGAAAGGTCCTTAGCCCATGGGGAGCATCTCATGACACCCACGCAGGAGCCAGGGCTGTGGTTTTCATCAGGAGACAGAAGCTGCAGTTAAATTCATCCTTTGAGAAGATTCTAATCATTCTTATCCCTGAATGCATTTTTAACCAGCCTGTCCTTAGGACCACATGCAGGGAAGGCCTCCTGGGCAAAAGAGAATTTCCAGCAAGGATTTCAAGGACTCCCAGTCTTGACAGAATTTGGAAAGCCACTCTTTCCCTCAACTTGCCCCAGCTGTGCAAAAAAAAAAAAAAAAAAAAAAAAAAAAAGAAAATGATTATGGTGACACAAACATCCTCTACTGAAATTAAAACCAAAGATAAAAATGAGACACGTTGGAATGCATGAGAACTTGTTTTTAGTGCTTTAAAATAAATCTCCCTGGAAAAACTATGCAAGGCAAGAGGCAGTTTAAAAAAAGAGTTCTTTTCACCTCAACACCCATGGTAACAGTCTCTCTATTCATGCCGGGGGCTCCCCACCACATTTTCATCAGTAACATGGACTCAATGAACAAGTTATTACTGCTTTTTTCACATTTAAATTAAATTATTCTTTGGTTGCAAAGGAAATGTTTTCATTCCTGGGAAATATACACTGAAAAATTTAAGGATAAAGGGCTATGATGTATATATCTGGCCCATAAAACTAAGTATATGTATATATATCTAACTCTAGCTCCATATATATGTAAATATATCTATACAGACATATGTGTGTATATATTTGTGTGTGTGTGTGTGTGTGTGTGTGTGTGGTGAAAGAGGAACAAGAGTAAGCGATAAAGAAAATGGGGTAAAATGTGAATAGGTGAATCTAGACAAAGAAAATTTGGATAGCTTTTGAACAGCTTTTATTTTTACAACTTAACTGTAAGTTTGAAATTATATGAGCTGTTGGAAGTAAAGTAAAAGAGTTCAATAGTTTTAAAAGTTTTAAAATACTTTAAGAAGCTTCAAAGCCTTAACATTTTAAGTTCTTTCCCCTTTCTTTTCTGGTTTGGCTTCTTGTTTGAGCTCCTTATAATGATGCAGCAGCCACACTGGGTAAAAGTGTCTGTGAGGGTCAGCCCACTCTGAGAGAAGGCAACGATCCTGCTGATGTGTTTAATCAGGATAAGAATTCTCTTGGAGAAACCAATCAGTGAGACAGTTCCAGAATGACTCCTCCCATGGTGTCTGGTGATTGTTGAGAGTTTATGCTGGGGTTGGAAACAGAACTATGACTATGGAGTGCAAGAATCTGTTTAGTCAATTTCTCTCTTTATTCCCTTAAGAGTATGACCAAGGTCATTAGATTTTTAAGGTTTTAAAAATAGCTATGTAATGTGTCTCAGACTACCTAAAACATGAAAAATAAATTAAACTCATAACACTAAATAAGAGAAAGAAAATATTATATATATATACACACACACTATATACATATATATGTGTATATATATATATATATATATATATATATATATATATGCCTAACACAAGAGATAACAGGGTCATTCCCTTATTAGAACAGACACTCTTTGAATACTGCAGCAGATACTAATCATTACACCTATATTCCTCAACAGAAAGAACTGTGGGATGTGATTAAATGAAGAGTAAATAAATGAATTTAAATGAATGAACAGCACATGAGACAAAGTTGTAAACAAAATTTCTGATCTTTAAGAATGCGTTTTAAGATTTATTAAAATCGAAGCAGAGGCATTTTTATGTATGGGGTTCTCTCTATATTAGTTTATAGCCTCCTCTTCTCTATTCTTATTGAGAAATCCATCATTATTGTTCACTAGGACCATAAAGAAACAGAAAATATGAGGTAAGAACTGGGAGAAGATTTCCATACATATAACTGAATCAGATTAGTATTATCCAGAATAAAGAAATTATTTCCTATAAATAAATTAGTAATACAAAAACAATTCAAAAGAAAAAATTTCAAAAATCTTAAACAGGTATTTTAGAGAAGAGAAACCAAAATAGCCAAAACACTTTGAAAAGATGCTCAACGGGTCATTAATAAGCAGAAAACACAAATTAAAGCCCCACATATACTGCCATTAACATCAGATTGGCAGTAATCCCAAAGCCTGACAATATCAAGAGTAGACAAAGCTGTATATCACTCTCATTTACCACTGGCAGCAGTGAAAACTGGTACAACCACTTTGGAAAACAATTTGGCATATCTGTAGAATGAAGTTGAAGGTATGCATGCTCTTTGACCCAACAATTCTGTCAGATACATTCTGAGAAACTCTCGCAAAGACTTGGTGAGAACTGTGTATAAGGATATTTCTAACAATACTTTCAGAATGGAAGCCATCCGAAGTTTGTCAACAGCACAGCAAACTAACAATTTGAGGAACTTCAGTTCATGGAGCAATATCCAACATTGAAGAGAAACAACAGCTGTATGTGTATCAACAAAATGGAACATAATGCTGAGTGAACAAAGCTTATGATAGAAGAATACATACATTATGATACCATTTATGGAAATATTTCATAGATGATTTATTTTCAAGGAGAGAAGCATGTCATAAAACTATAAAGAGCAATAACAGAATGATAAACAAAAATTCAAAGATAGTGATAGCCTTGGTTTAGGATCATTTGGAAAGAGATGTGATCAAGGGGACAAGACACATGGACCTTTAAAGAATATGCTAATGGCCTATTTGTTAGAAGAGGCAGTGGGCACAGGTTCACTGTACTGTTATTCTTGGCATTATATACATTTTACAAACATGTTTTTGCGTGTACCCAATTTTTTTTTTTTTTGGAAATGGTGTTTATTATTTTTTAAATCCATTTATCTATTTTTTCTTACAATGCTTGCTTTCTTTTCTCAAATGTATTCCCCATAGCATTTCCACCACCAATTCACCTATGTACCCTCTCCATAGTCCCTTGAGCAATTCCCGCCCTAATTTTGATCCCTTTCCCACCCCCTCCCCTGCAGAATGTCTCTGATTTATAGTTGTCTGTTTATTTTTGTTTTGTTGTGTTGTGGTTTTTGTTGCTGTTATTATTTTTCCTTGATCCCCTATATTCCTCCTATAAGTGAACCAATATTTAATAAAAATGATTTTATGATTGGTGAGAAAGCAAATGTCCCAAAATATTTTGCCCAAGACTTGGTTAGACAGAGTACAGCAACATGCCAGCCATTAGACCTCCCTGATAGTCTTTCCCTACAAACATGCCCTACTGGTCTACATATCTCTGGTTCGTTTTTGCTCACTCAGTCCAAAAACCAACAATCATGAAGAACTACTAGTTGTCCAGTGTCAGAAGAAAGTTTTACAATGTTCATCAGAAGCAGCAGCTAAACCTTCCTTTGTCATCCTGTTCCTCATTAACATTCATGCCTCCTCGAGGTGTGAATGACAAGTACATTACCCTGTTCACAAGCAAGCACGCATACATCCAATCTCTGCAGCTTGATTGGGTTATTATTATATCCAAATATTCCTGAAAGCCATTATTATCTGACTCTTGACTTTGACTTACTCTCTAATATTTGTACACATTTCACAATGTTAATAGAGTGCTATATTTAAAACAAAGCATCTCCCTGTCCTCCAATCAGAACCTGAAACACAGATACCTGTCTGTGTGCTTCTAACTACAACCATGTAATGACAGACCCTAAAGAAAAATAAACAAAATAACCTGAGTATGTTGTGCTGCTACTGTCAGTATTTAAAAAAAAATTAACGTAACTCCAGGGCACTCTGACTTCACTTGGTAGACCATAAAAGATAAAAGAAACATTTATCTCCATTCCCCCAACTGCATTCCAGTGGAATGGGAAGAAAGCCATACTACATTTTCAGTATCATGAATTTTTTAAAAATAATTGTTTTCATATCAACTACGACAGTGAAGTCAGGCTCTTTCAGGAATAACATACAAACAGAAACAAAACAATCAGACTAATAAAAAAGTTCTTTTAAAATATCAGTCCAGAAAAGTCCATCACCCAGTTCTCTGAAATTTACTGAAGGCCTTGTTAGTAGCTGCTGTAAAAAATATAACCACCTACCTCGGCATACTGTGCCACTGAACTGGCTTCCACCGCATACACTCTCCTAGCGCCAGCCTGAGCGGCGAAGAATGACAGTATTCCTGATCCACAACCAACATCTAGAACAACCTAGAAGAAGACAAAAAAGGGGTGAAAACAAGAACAGGTGGTTGACATTGGCATAGTGCCAACTCTGGGCATTGAGGTCAGACTCACTTAAGTACGGACCTTTAGTATTTACAAGTGGTCTTACCTTGGCCAAGTTATACGTCTCTGTGAGAGTCCTTTCTTCTCATATGATAAAGGGGACTTGTCAGTCCATATTACAAATAATTGGTTTCTTTTTTTTTTTTTTTCAAATTATGGCTACTATTATTATAGTTTATTTGTAAAATGGATTACTTTTAGGACATTTAGGGGCAAGTAGCATGCCATGAATGATCTTGTGCCATCAAATCTGTCAGCAAGAATAATATAAAAGTCTGAAATAATTTCTTAAATGAGATATATATATATATTCCAAAAGAACTGATGATAAAGTCTTGAAATCACAAATAGGAGGTGTGTGCTTTTTCACCCATCCACAAAGCTGGGGAGGCTTATCTGAAGTGTAGGAAGGCATTAAGGTCGTAGATGGGAAGAGCTTACTGTAACTTTTCATCTACTATCTGTATGTAGACCTGACACTTAAATAAAGAAAACTACCATTTACTTGGCAAAAAGGAGCCAATACTCAGACCTGTGTGCTCTTAGAGGCAAGGGATGGATGGTATGTATTGGGATCTCAAACTCCACCACTGCGAATCTCAGTCTGCTTTTTGAAATGTCAGGTTATTGTTTTCTAGCTCACTAGTGACTTTCATTCTTAGCACTCTAGCTTCCAGCAAGTATTTTCCTTGGCTCTAAATCATCACAGTAAATATATAAATAATAGTATTTCTATGCCCACTTTATAGAAGAGAAAACTGAAAATCAGACTTTGAACAATCAGCCCAAGTTTATCTAGAGATAAGTAGGCGAGCTAAGAGTTGACATTTCTGTCTTTCAGGCTTATGTTCCATAAAATCATACATTGCTTACTAAATTCAATCTTGATAAATCTGACATTTTAACACAGCAATCCCAATAGGCAATGTTTGACAAGGAAATAAAATCTTACTTTCTGTAGGAAAATTTAGAAAAGTTTTTTTTTTTCACTTTGATAGCAGGAAAATTTTCCCCCAAAATAGGAAATATCAAGAGGTTGTGTGTGTGTTCTAACTGCAATATCATACTGTGCTGACACAGATACTGTGCCATTATTCTAAGAGAACATGCTGTTAGTAATGGGTTCACAGTGCTCACTTATATTAATTCTAAGCTGTGGCTGTATTCCATATGGCTTCCTAGGGTTTGGGTAATTAGGAGCATTACCAATTTAAAATGTCACCTAGTCTCCGGAACTGGTTGTCAGGCTGCCTATACTTTTAGAAATACCAATATTCACTTCTCCTCATCCTCCCCATAAAATACATCATGTTCACATGGCCCTGGTCCATTACAAAATGCCCATGACTGATGTTAAGGAGTGGAGGACATTAAGTTGGAGAGTACAATCTGTTGTTCCTAAGAAAGATGTGCCACATTCAGAAGAACTTTCCAAGGCTTCTTTAATTAAAAATATAATACCTTAGATTCCACGTTTAGTTCACAGTATGGATGCAAAATCAGGAGGATGGAAATTGCACCTGCTTACTCTGCTGACAGATACCCTAGAGAGGGATGGATGGAGCTCTCTGTCTATTTTTTTAGGGTTTCATGAGGCACATCATAGAACAGCATTTTCAGTTCTTGATCCTGAAGACCAAAAACCAAAGAAATGCTTTACCACTAAAAGAGAGACAGAGGAGAAAGGAAAAAGGGACCAAGAAGGGAGGAAAAATGACATCATCCAGCTTGTGCTAAATTAGTCTATTAGGGGGGAGGATACTTTGATAGACCCACACCATTATCTAGAAAAGTGAAAAATTACAAACTCAGGTAATTTTCCAAAACCTTATTTCAATACTGAATTTCAAGCCCAAATAACTTCTTCGGTTTGGCCATTTCAAAACAGAGCCCACGCCTGAAAAGAAATCATTTGATGTTTTTGCTACTATTAGATAGATAATTCCATCTGCCTCCTGAGTGTCTGTATATTAAATAAGTTAACAAGTGAATTTTGAGTTGTGAGGCTGGTAAGAAAGGGTGAGAAAGGAGAGGGATGTTTTGCCTTGTCTACATAAGCCATGCAATGTTGCAAACAAAGCTGTGGAGGGCTGAGAATAAATCTTCTGGTGAAAAACCAACGGTCAGGGCAAATACTGAGGTTCTAATGAAAATATACTACGTCAGTCCTTTCCAGCTGCCGTTTCTAAGACTGCAGGAGAAGAAAGAACATTAGCACATATAATTCTGTTACACTTTCTTACATGGCACCTTACAAAGCCTTGGAGCTACCTCTAATTGTATTTCCTATTCCATACAGGAGATTCTATTGAGCCCATTTTTTATCCTACCACTGTTAACAATCACAAAAACTGGGCATTTGAAGACTTTGGCAGACATTAAGTTATACTTTCATGTCCCTGGGAAAGTATCTCCCCTCAGGCAGAGGCAAAAAGAGAATAAAATCCCCTTGTATCTATAATGCAATTTGCAGTTTCCAAAGGATGCTCCTGACACTGTCTATTTGACCCTTGTGCCTCTCTGGGGTGGAGATAACACAATACTGTTCCCATTTATTATTTGGGAAACTGAGGCTCAGAGAAACCAAATTTCCAGACCAAGCTAACATAACTGGTCAGAGACAGAGCTGGAATGAATATCAAGTGATCAGCTCTCCATACCATTATTGCCTCTTTCTTGCAGCAAAAACAAGAATAAAGGATTATAAGAGATGCAAACATGACCATATAATACACCCCAGCAAACACCTCCAAAGAGTCCACACAGCTGGAGAAGAGCCCACTTTCTTTGCTGTGTTATCCTTAGTCCTGAACTATCCAACAGTGACTGGGTCGTTTTCTGTATTCTCTCCCTTTCTCCCCACAAACCCAAGGCTTGGCAACTGGGTCCCTTTCCTTAGGGGCTCACTCAAATGCAATCTCCTTTGGTGGAAGAAACTAACCTCCCAAGATTAATGCTATCTCAGAGTAGTGCTGTGGAGGAGAAGCTGCCCAGCCAGCACTGCATTTCCCTACCCCACCCCCGTGCTACTTGTGACCATGTGACTAGTTCTGCCCAGTGGAATTTGAGTGTTACTATCAGGCCAACATGGTTAAGGGCCTAGATTATCTTTCCCACATTTTCTGCTCCTTACGCAGTGGTATTTGGAACCATATATTGAAGATAAAAAGAGCCTGAATGACCAGATATTCGGAACATACTGGGCATGGCATGACCAAGGAACAGATTTTATTTTGTTAGATCAAAGAAATATGGGGAGCAATAGTTTAAGTAGTTGGCATACATTGACCAACATATTTTCTTTGGGTGAAATCCCTTCTCTAATTTTATATCTGGGAAACTCATCCTTTAAGACCCAGCATGGAGGTCACATTTCAGGGGTGCTTCTTCTGACTTCCCCAGTCAGTGTAGGCTGGGCTTCCTGAGGTTTGGTACTTAACTCTCTCATAGCACTTATTAGACAGTATTTTAAATATTTCTTTACATGTTTATGTTCCTTGCTTAGCTGGTAAGCTCCCTAAAGATGAGAATTCCATCAGTTATCTCTTACTACCCAGCACAGTGGGAAAAATAAATATTTATTGACTAAATGACTGAATGTGAGGACCCAATATGGCAGTTTACTAATTTTAGCATCACCTTGAAATATGTCCAGAAAGATTTCATGACTTTATCAATCATCTGGCCTCTGGGAGGGCTCTTGCATTACAAAGCTAGCACCCAAAGAAGATGAGTTCAGGATGCCTTGGATATAGTCAAACTTTATATATTTATCCTGATTGCTTCACTAAATCTTTTTTATCTTCTGCTTCCTAGATCATTTCTTATTTGTTGGTCTCCAAGTCACCTCACAAGCTTGATCCTTTATACTCTTTCTTCATGATCTCCACCGTTCCTCCTTTATGATGATCTGAGCCTGTCCCTTGTCTTCTGACTATCTGATTAAGCCTTATGTCCCAATACAGGCCATCTTCGAAGGCTCCATATCCTTTCCACAACAGGGCTTTAGTACACACTTCTTCCTGTGCTTGAAGTGACTCCCCATTGCATACTCTATGGTATCAAGCTATGATCTTTTCTCAAAAAACCTATTCAGGGCCTCCCCGGTGGCGCAGTGGTTGAGTGCTGGGTTGCAAAGCTGCCCGCAGCCTCTGCAACACCAGTTCAATCCCCGGCTGCTCCCCGGCCTCCAGAGGAGGGTCCCACATGGCGCACAGACCTCTCTTGCCGCCCGCTGCTCCCCTCAGCAGTGTACTTCAGTCCTTCTGCCTGCTCTGCTCCCCACTCTGGCTCTCACCCTCCCGTGCTTCTGACTGTACCCAGTCCTTGTATAAATAAATAAATAAATCTTAAAAAAACCCAAAAAACTATTCAATGTCCATTGTGCTACATATTTCCTATTTATTCCTCCAAATCTATTTTTCATTCTTCTCTATCATGTTCTTTGTCAGGAGACTAAACTTCATGGACTACATTAACAGAGTTCTTTGCCATTGGACTCAAGTTAGGATAAATCGAAAGACAAGTGTGAGTCAGTGGGAGTGAGGATAGTGAGGTTAGATCATTTATTCTTCTGGTTTCCTTCTTCCTGGGTCTCCCTTGTCTTGTTGTGTTCCCCCTTCTAAAAGCCATAGCCCTTTTTGGGTACTCATCTCCTACAGCAACCATTCTCTCAGGTGTCAATTACCCACATGCCCCCTCCTTTGTTTCTTAATTTAGAGGGGTGGTGACAGGTCCATCCATTTTAATGCCAGGGTGCTTCACCATGTACTGGTTCTTTTAACTCTGCCCACACTTTTGTAAATAGCTCCATTTTTTATCTTCTCCAAAACATGCTACCCAGTGTGCTATCGCTCTCTTGCAGGGTCCTTGGCCATACACCAATTCATCCTTTAGGATCAAACATCTCTTCAACAGGGATG